CAACGTGAACAGCGGATGCAGTATACCACATTAGCAGATGTGCAGGTGAACATCTGCTTGATGTGGAAAGTCTTCTTGGGGCCTGGGATGAGGGTGAGGGGGGGAGGTGTGGGGGCAGGTGTAGCACTTCCTGCGGTTGCAGGGAAAAGTGCCGGGTGTGGTGGGGCTGGAGGGGAGTGTGGAGTGGACAAGAGAGTCACGGAGAGAGTGGTCCCTCTGGAAAGCAGATAAGGGTGGGGAGGGAAAGATGTCTTTGGTGGTGGGGTCGGATTGCAGATGGCGGAAGTGTCGGAGGATGATGCGTTGGATCCGGAGGTTGGTGGGGTGGTATGCGAGGATGAAGGGGATTCTGTTTTGGTTGTTATTGCGGGGAGGTGTGAGGGATGACTTGGGGGAAGTGAGGGAGACACGGTCGAGGGCATTCTCGACCACTAAGGGGGGGAGGTTGCGGTCCTTGAAGAATGAGGACATCTGAAATGTACGGGAGTGGAATGCCTCATGCTGGGAGCAGATGCGGCAGAGGCGCATCTTCTGAACCTGATCTTTTTATGCACTTCTAGGAAAGTGTACACATTAGCTGAAACACAAACTCTATCAAAAAGTGAAAAATGCACTGAACCTCTTTAAACGTACTCAAAGGCCAATATATGGTGCACCGAGGAAATCTCCGTGCCATTGTGAACCAAAGGAGCCAATTATACATGGTTTATGTAAAGGATACTCATGTATTCAGTTAATACAACGGTATTTTCAGGGGGAGGAGAGGGTCTTGTATCAAAGAGAATACAAGAAGAAATACAAGCTCCTGAATGCAAAGACATATGAAACTAAGTGCCATGAGGGTATGCTTGATGCAAATATAAACTGAAAAGGACTTCGCAGGCATTCAGCTACTTTGGAAATGTGATAGTAATACAACCATTAATGCATTACAGTCTGACGTCTGAGTAGCTTTTATGTTCTACTGTTGGAAATGAACCTTTACAAACAATTGATACTACTTTTCTAGAGCGAATAACCTTGTATAATAACATTATAGAAAGGACAATGACATGCTCCACAAAGATTCAAACAAATTCAAAATGGAAAACAACAATGCAGTCATAAAGCATATACGGTGATGCAACATCGATATTTATATTTAGATAAGAATCCTGTTAATTTGGATAATTTCACTTTTCATCTTACCACTGCTATAGCACCAGTAAGCTACATCACATGGAAACAAATTTAACAGACAGAGAACTTACAGGTGGAATTATCTGCCCCACATAAAATGATGTTTCAACACCTTTGTGAACGAAGTAAATGAAACTTCTCACAGTGCTGAGTGATGACTCCATGCACAAATAATGGCAGTTATTAAAGATAATCAATGCTGCCATTAGAACACAAGTGAATATTAGTCAAAGTAAACACTGATCAAACCATTTGAGGCAAAAGAAAAACATGGTTGTCAAGTAAAATTAAAATATCTCATTGATCTAAAATTCAGCTAGCAAGCTCCGATCATTTTCCTTTTGTAAAAACAACCAGCAAAATTGAAACGTGGAGACACTGTAATTTATATACATTTGCAAATATCACTCAGACTTCCTTGCAATTGTCACAAACGAAAAACTTACAGAACAAACAGAACCTATCAAGAACGAATCTTGTAAACGTCGATCCAAATCGTGCCTGGAAACTGCACTACTTTAAAAAGGCAACTGAAAATGTCATCGTTGGACTTAAACCATACATGCATCCTTTCTATGACCTAACAACTTCCTACATTTATTTTCTCATGTATTCAGCTGTTTATGACCTCAACTGAAAGTGATGTAATGTTCTGCTGACAACTATTGGTTACAAATATACCACAAAACCCGAACGGATTTTCTACATTGCACAAAATAAAACTGGTAAATACATACTGTGAGCTTTTTTGTATTAAAGTGACAGCAGGAGGTTTAAACTACTTGCTTGCAATTTGTTTTAGCCCTAAGCCATTCTGCTTTAATTTAGCAAACATCCTTGGGTGATCTAAAATCAAATCCACTTACTACATGCATCAGGAATTTTGCAAATAGTTGAACACAGTACAATTTTCCCAAATAACTATATCAAGAAAACAAATAATTGATTATTCCATAACAATTGTTTAAGCTTTGAAAATTATAAGATTAAAGTGATAACAACTCAGCATGGTTTGTGAGAAAATGTACTCAGTTTCAACTTACTTAAAGATTATTAAATGCTATGGTGGAGCGACAACATTACTAAATCTGGAGCTGAATGGAGTCAAATTTCACTACAAAATTTGTAAAACAGGTCCACAATCAATAACTGGATAATAGGCTTCTCCTCAGTTAGTATAGCCCTGAGAGAGACTCAGAACTGCACAAGACCACAGAGAGTTTACAAACACAAATATCAAATTTAATCATGAAGTACATGATCATTTTTTTTGAACGTATAGAAACACAGACATAGAATCATAGAACATGGCAGCAGGAGCAGGCCACTTGGCTCTTTAAACCTGTTCCACATTCAGTGTGATCATCGCTCATCAACAATTCAATGCCCTGTTCCCACTTTCTCCCCATACCCTTTCATACCTTTAGCCTCAAGAATTACATCTGATTCTTTCTTAAAAATATTCCATGTTTTGGCCCAAACTGTATTCTGTGGCAGGGAACTCCACAGGCACACCATTCTCTGGGTGAAGAAGTTTCTTCCCATCTTACCCTGATTCAGTGCACAAATAGGTGCATTCTGCAGTTCACCCAATAATGGATGAGCGGTGGAGGAACAAATGTATGGACAAATTAGTGAATAGACCAATGAAAGCAAAGAATAATAATCACAAGGAGTTTTCAACCATCCTAACGGCAAGTAGGTAAAGGTGATAAAGGAGTAGAGTTTTGACAATACGTTATTGTAATAGGTGGGAAGGAAACCATTACAGATTAGACAGGATAAACCAAAAGCTCCAAAACAGGGAGCAGAAACATTAGCCTGGATCTATCATGAAACAAAATTCACCATCAAATTGCCACTTCACACCTACATTTCTTGTACCCTAATGTTGCTTCAACTTTTCCAGAAGAAGCTGGGACCTGATGATCTAGCTCAACACTAAGAAGCGTACAATCCCACAAAGAACTCCATTGGACAGAAGCAGTGTTAGGGAAGGGGAAGGTGGGTTGGGGGAGGGGAGGGACGACAAGCCATATGCACCTATTTACAGGACTAGCTGCTGTGAAGTATGTTTAAATGTCCAGTGTAAATGTTACTGAATGGGTAAAAATTGAAGTGTTAGTGAATGTGTTAGTGGATGAATGATGGAAAAGATAATCGGATGGGTAAGAGGGTGAAGTCAATGGATAGGATGAAGTGGTGTCAGATAAATAGGGTTGTAAGATTGCAGGAGGGTGAAAAGGGTCGGTGGGCAAGTGGGAAGGTGGGTTGAGGGGGGTAGTCAAGTTGGGATGGGAGGAATTAATAGGTGAGAATGTAGTCAGATTGTGGGGTCTGCTAGCTGGGTCCAGAGTATTGGATCAGATTGGGGAATGAATCAGAGGAGGATGTAGCGGGCAAAGAGGTAGGGATGAGTCGGAATGTCAAAGGGGGTGTCAGTATGTGGTGGGAGTGCTCGTGTGAGTGACTAGGGTCGTTATCGAATTACACAGGAGTTAAAAGAAGACTTTTTTTTTGTACACCATTTCCTGAGCAACTGTCCAGGAAGGTACATCAGAACCGTCCAAAGTTTCCAGCTACAACTCAGATTTAAGAATTTTTTTTAAGAGAATTCTGGGAACAGGGGAATTGCCCATCAGAACTTTAATTTTCTCGGGCAATTCCCATTGAGGTCATTATAATGAGACCTCAGCAGGGTCTTAACACTTAACTTTGGTAGAATGCTTGGTCTCTGATGATCTGGAGACTTGAAGTTCTGGACCATCAATTAATTTTTTCTCTTGATATCTACCAACGAGCTAGATCAGATAAGTACGACGGTGAATGATGAGAACCGAAAGAACTGCAGAAGCTGTAAATCAGAAACAAAAATAGAAAAATGGAAAAGTGCAGCAGATCTGCCAGCATCTGTGAAGGCAAATCAGAGTTAACTTTTCGGGTCGAGTGCCTCAACAGTTCCTCAGAAATGATGAGACATGAAATGATATAAGGACATTTAAAATGAAAAAGGTGACACAATGAATTGAATAAAAAATCTCAATAGACTTCTTAAGGCACTTTATCCAGTTCTCAGAGCTATACTGCTGGCGTTGGCCCCTCTAGCTATCTGCACCCAGTGTCTTTACAGTGTTTCTCTGAAGGGCCTTCTTATCCATGCTTGGTTAAGAACCTCTGTACCACGTCCATTCCCTATTTGATTGTTTCCAAGTGCTGCATCAGCCGACCTTGGAGTATGATCTCAGTTATGTTGTGGCATTCTTATGTCTTTCCAAATAAAAACTTTCAGAGACTGTCTCAGCCAAAATGCAGTTCTCATTTTAGAGATGCATGTTTGGTTTAAGTAGTGCCTACCAGTTTCATATGAATGTCACCTCTGATCAAGCATAGAGTCATCTTACAACTTGTTTAGCATTGACTGCATATTACAACCATGTAAACAAGGAAGCAGCACTAGGTGTGAATGTGAACCATTGTGTGGTTTATCATGTTTCAAATCTGTCCAATATTGTTCTCAACGAAGCTTACGGCCACCAATATTTCATTGTTACTTGCGGGTCCTGGTTGTGTACAAACGGGCTGCGAGATTTCCTTTGTTCAAATATTCAGTATATTTCAAAAGTACTCCATGAGCCATAATGCATTTTGGGATTTTCTGACATTATGAAAACATAAATTTAAGTTCTTTCTTTATAGTCGGATGTTTAATTCTAACCAACATATTCACAGTGAAGCCAGATTATTAGAGTAAAATATAAAAGCAAAGAAAGCACATGAATTTGATCAGTAATCAAGATCATTAAACTGCAACTTCTACTTACTCAACTGGTACTTAAGCAAATAACCAGTAAGAATGCCATTAGGTTTTGCCGGAGGTCCCCACATCAGAGTCACAGAGTTTTTAGCAAAGTTTGCAATTTGCAGGAAGGCAGGCTGCTCAGGGACTGTCAAAAAAGAAAAAGCAAAACATGTTTGTTAATGATGGGTTCAGCTGTATATACTTTACATGAAGAAAGGAGCCACCTTCTAAACTGTAATCCCAGTGATATTTTCATGACTGATCAATATTGATTGTGCCAAAAAAATCTATTTTTCCAGAAACTAAGTTCAGCTTGTCCTAATGAATAATATTGCAAATAGTACCTTCTTTTCAAACAGTAGAAAATTATTTGCTGCATTAAAACATGGCTATAAATCATTTAATTATGACAAAACTCAACAGCTCTAAATGGCTGTGACAAGATTACTTCTTGTCATTTGACACAAATCCAGCAATTACATTGCACACAACAGAAAAGCTTATAGCAAGATGATAATTGCTTTGATTGCTTTTCTGAGGTTAATGGTAATGTGGCATAACTTGCTGAATAATTTGAAGAGAATGGAAACCCGTTTGGAGCGTTTTTTCTTCATCTCAAATTGCTGGCTAAGTTGCTCACTTATCATGATGTGCATCGGTATTCCGCCATTACATTTGCAGCAATTGCAGGGCCAATTTTTTTTTAATGAACCAATCTCTTCCACACAAGTATTATTTCATTAATTATGACAGTGATAAAATGGAAACTTAATATTGAGATTTAAGACATTGAACGAGGAGAGATAATCTGGAAAGCACAGCTACATTGGAGTAACTGTGATCAAACTGAATTATTTTCTTGTTGCTTTGTAGAGTATTTGGAAGACAGTACACACATACAAAACCTTCATCATGAAGTTATAAAGCATTAGTGACAAACATATGTTCTCAAATTAAACAACTTTTGGCATAATGGAACAGTCTATTGCAGAGATGGTGGTGTTATTCACTACACACACACACACACACACACACACACACACACACGATCATCCAGGAAGCACTCCAGGTTGAATGCTGTTCCACTTCTGAAAGAATTTACAAAGTGCAAAATGATTAGATATCCATATCAGGCATACTCTCAACAGTATGTTAGGCAATAGGGGTATAGTATATGCCTTAAGTTGAATACATTGGCCAAATATATTTTGGAATCAGCTCTATCAATATTTATTTAATATTAACATAGAATGTGAACATCATAAGCAAAGCCAGAATTTAATAACTATTCATAAAGAAGTGAATTATTATATTGAAAATATCTGCAATTGCAGCTCACACGTTGGGGACAAGAAACTCAGTAACGCGGCAATGGTAGTGCACGACTGCAACTCCATCATAGGGCAACTTCAAGGGCATCTGCAACTGTCCCCCCCTTCTCTTCCACTGTGTTTGAACAGGCATCATGAAAGAGCTTAGAAGTTACATTGAATAGTTCAAACAATGCAGGTGCAGCATACCATTATATCATGGAGGGCAAATATTGATAACATTGTGGATCACTTATGTGATAGCTGCTCGGAAGCAGCTGCATCATCTGGTTTTCCTGGTTGCAAAGTTGCTGAACATTTACTGAGCGGAATTTTTTTCAGATCTATATAGCCAGTGAGAAATGCAAAAGGAGTATATTTAGGAGTGGATTTTGAGATGTTCAGACATTTGTTATTCCCGCGTAGATGGGAGTTGTGTATAGGATCCTGCGGAATCCACATTGTTGCTCACTTCGAAGGAATTGCACAGGAAATTGGAGTTTCTTCATTTTTGTGTTCCACTGGACAATTTCTCTCTGCCTGGAACCCTGAAAAAGGATCCATTTACATCAGAGAATCTTGAGAGCTCTGATGAAATTAAGTAAATAGAAACTGCACTATTGAATACACAGTCTGATTCCTGTGGAGCTATTCCACTGATCGCGTACTTAGCTCGGGTTTTCCCATAAACATCACCACCAGACCACTTACACCAGACTGACTGGATATACCACTCTTTCCCTGTGGGGTACGATACCACCACCACCCCTTTCCCCCGCCCTGCCATCCTGCTGTAGATCCATTCGTCCCCGTCCTTCACTTCAGACCTGCAGCTTCTTTTCCTGCTCCAGAATTGATAGCCTCCTTCCCCTTTTCTGGACCCAAAACCCGTGCCTCACCCTCATCTGCCCCCATCCCTGGCTAAGAACTTGTATGCTACTCCCTCAATCTGGGCACCATCTCCCACCTGCACCCTATCTGGACGCCCCTCCCACCTTCAAATTCTCCAAAACTCTCCCCCACCCACTCCCAACTTCACCTTCTCCAGTTCTGCCTCCCGCCTTCACCACCACCCAATCACATGCACACTGTCGCTCTTCAGGACAACCAACCCACGATGACTTTGTTCCAATCTATAATGCTCTAGATCTTTAGGAATCCTGATAGTTTGTAAAATTATACACCCTTCTCATGTTTTTGCCAATTAATCACCAGAAGAAGCGATAAAATTGGCTGTTTGAACATCAGTTGAGAACTGATTAGCCTGTTATATTGATCTGTCCAATGAGCATTCATACAGAGAGAATATAAAAGACAAGTCATACAAATAGGCAAGGGTATCATTTTAGACTGGAGGATAAGCACCTTACATAGAAGCTATGTGTGCTGAAACACTTGTTTTGATGAGCTTTCTTAGTTTTCTGCTGATGCCTGAGCTGAAACCCAGTTATATTTCAAAAAGGACACTGTGGAACCTGCTGTTTATCTGGGGTAGGGATAGAATCTTTTATCTTAGTCCAAACTTATCACTTTTCAGGAGTGACCAGAGTTTCGTATAATATTTTGTGCTAGTTTGCATCAGCTATATGATATCTTAAAGCAAATACAAATATAATTTTTGGACAATAAGGTTTGCAGAACTTTTCTGGCACTGATGTTGTCTGTGAATAGGTCTATTGTAAAGACTTCTCTCACAGCAAGGAATACACAGCAGTCAAACTTAATGATATCGAAGAACTTGCTCACATGGATCATGTTGTTGCAGCTGTACAACACACCTAATCTTGCTTCTCATAACACTGTTATATAGACTGCAAATGCCTATCCCATTATTTGTAACTTCTGCACCAGGAAGGACATGGTATTTAGACCACATTATTATACATTATACATTTCCAGCTCAACTGCTGTAGATTGAAAGATTACAATGCCATCATTATCCCATTTCACTTGCTATTTCAAAGATAGTCACTGACTGTAACTCTTAGTTCCATCGAGTACTTGGCAATTTCAACCTCAAAATAGATTAAATGGCTTTTTTGTTGGTTTGCTGATCTTCAGAGTATGATTTTCACTTTGCAAGTCCCTCTCTATTTCAACTGGTAACGTAATACCGGAAGTCAAATTCAAAATGTCATGACTCCTCCACTGATACTTACTCCATTAGTTTCCATATCTTCATTTGGTTCAGTCATAACATGGTCAAAAAGATAACTGAAGCACTCTGGGAAATCAAACTATTCAATTCTTTCAGCTGTATCAACTTGTTCCTACAGATCATGGCATAGTTAGCAGTAGGTTTATATGCAGAATCAACTGGAATAGTTCATAGAGTCAGGCCGCATAATACAAAAATAACACATGTATAGTATCATTACCCTCCCTTGAATTCTGTTATCTTTTTTGTTCAAAGTATTACGACAAAATATTCCAAATAAATTATTTTATCTCCTGGTTCACAGGACAATTGCAAGGAAAATGCTTGATAAGCATCTTTAAGGTGTTCAATGATATAATAAACCAAATCCAGAAGAATGTGTTGCGTATCAACAGACCTAATTTTGAAAAAAAATGTTAAATGAAGGAATCAGAAATTATACAAATACTGCAAGCCATTGCTTACCTACAGTCAAAGAGAGATTCCATGATAAGAAATTACATCATATTTAAGTTTGCTTAAGCTTTTTAAATTGATATTGTAGGAGGAAAAGCTTTACCTCCTTCTGGAGTCTTGAAATGGATGGGTCCACTTTGTGGTCCATCACCTTTCCTATTAAAGACCATCACGATCAGACCATATTCACTGTAGGGTTCCAAACCGGGAACCATTCCATGACGCCGTTGTCCATTGAAAGTAAGGACATGTTTTTCAACGTATCGTTTTCTCCTTTCCAACAAACTTTTGATTTTCCAGTAGACAATCTGTTACAGGAAAAAATGACAAGGGTGTAACCTACAAATTGACAGTCTTAGAAAAAAATATAAGCACACAGTTAATAAACAGTTGGAAATATATTACATAAAAAATTACAAAGAAGCCTGTTGTTTGAGCAAGCCTATGATTCACATTGATAATTATTTATTTTAATAAAACATACTTTTAAAATTTAGATTCCTTGCCATTGCTGTTGTTAATAGCCTGCGTTTTGTTAATGAGGAGGTGTCGATGCTCGACAGGAGTGAACAAAGTCAGAAGTCACATGACACCAGGTAAGAGTCCAACAGGTTTATTTCAAATTACAAGCTTACGGAGCACTGCTCCTTTATCAGGTAAAGTGGAAAGAGGCACATCCTCCCTCCACTTCACCTGACGAAGGAGCAGAGCTCCCCGAAAGCTTGTCGTTTTAAATAAATCTGTTGGACTATAACCTGGTATTGTGTGACTGTGTTTTGTTGTCAGCAGTTAAACAATTTTCCACTTAAAAAACCCTTCCAGTGGATTCCAGAGCACATTTCTCCTTCTTTCTGATGTTAGTTTAATCTTGACATCTTCAAAAGGAGAATTATAGGTTTCAGGAACAGAGCAAATAGCAGAGAAATCAACCAACCAATCCAATCGGACATTTCTCAGCACACCAAGGAAATAAATAAAATCCAGGGAATATAAGTAACATCCACATCATTATACATAAAGTGAAATGAAGATTGAGCCACACAGGTTCAAGGAAAAAAGTGAACAGAAAAGCGCAGTCTATACCTTTTAAAAATTGTAGCCTATCAATTTCTTCTGTTGAAATGAAACTCCGTAATTTTAAAATTATAGTATTGTAAAAGAAATACATTATGTCAAATCTTTGTTTTGCACTTACTAGGCCAATTCACAAGAAACACAATCATAAACAGAAAACAGGTTGTTCTGCTGTATAAGAGGACACTGATGTTCTGGGAAGTGTGAGACAACATCATACTTTTCCATAAAATTTCAAGTTTTGTCATGCCAAATGAATATTGCTAAAATTATCTACTTCAGAGCAAGATAGGTTGTTTGGCAGCAAAATTGACAGCATGCCGATCAAAATAAAATCAGTTCATAGATTATCATTGACAGCCATGTCTGAATTACCAAGTTTAACTGCATTTGTGTGGACATTGGTTTTACACAGGGAAGCATCAAGTGTTGAAACCTCACCATTAATGCCCAGGAAAATGTAGCGAAAATGAAGCCAATTGAAGAAAACCTTAAAAAGTAAGGTGGAATCATCGCAACTTATGCACAACATTCAATCTGCAAGCCAGGAACTTCCACTTTGGTTGGAATGCTGATCTGAACTCAAATCGCACCAATTTTGCAAGTGTTATTTTCAGCTCAAGTTTCCACTCAACTTACTTGCATATCACCAACATATTACTGCATTACCAAATATTACTATATTTAAGAATGTAACAAAATGCAGTTTCATTAATACAGCTGGTTTTGGATTTAACATACAAAAAAATGAGAACTTCAGTTACAGTCCACAGGGAGTGAGCAACCTGATATTGAATAACTGAAAGCAATTTCGAAATAAAGTAAACAAGACCATTTACCAGGTACATTTGTATGGTAGTAGGAACTGCAGATGCTGGAGAATCTGAGATGATAAGGTGCAGAGCTGGATGAACACAGCAGGTCAAGCAGCATCAGAGGAGCAGGAAAGCTGACGTTTTGGGCCTAGACCCTTCTTCA